TGTGGGTATCTTCGGTGCTGACCAGTTCTCTATCGCTTTGATTTTGGAGGGGTCCACGTGTATGCCTTCCTTGCTTACCACGTGACCAAGGAAGGTTACTTTGCGAATCCAGAATTCGCACTTGGAGAATTTCGCGTACAGCTTCTCCGTCCTTAGGGTTTCCAGCACCGATCTCAAGTGCTGTCGATGATCTTCCTCACTTCTGGAGTAGACAAGTATATCATCGATGAACACGATTACGAACTTGTCCAGGAAAGAACGGCACACCCGATTCATCAGGTCCATGAATACCACCGGTGCGTTGGTTAGACCAAAGGGCATTACTACAAATTCATAGTGTCCATAACGAGTTCGGAATTCTATCTTGGGCACATCATTCTCGTGAACTCGCAACTATTGGTATCCTGATCTTAGGTCTATTTTGGAGAAGTAACTGGCTCCCTGAAGTTGATCAAAGAGGTCGTCGATTCGAGGAAGAGGGTAATGGTTTTTGACAGTGAGCTTGTTCAGTTCGCAATAGTCAATGCACATCCGAATGGATCCATCCTTCTTTTTCACAAATAAGATCGGGGCTCCCCAAGGTGAGGAACTCGGTCTGATGAACCCTTTGTTGAGCTGCTCATTGAGCTGACTGGATAACTCCTGCATTTCTGCCGGCGCTAATCGGTATGGGGATTTAGCTACGAGGGTAGCTCCGGGGACTAAGGTGATGCGAAACTCGACTTGGCGTTCGGGAGGGATTCCCGGGAGATCTTTGTGAAAAACATCAGGAAATTTGCAGACTTTGGGGATGCTCTCGAGGTCTTTAACTTCCTACTTCTCGTTAATGACGTGGGCTAGGAATGCATGACACTCATTTCGTAGAAGTTTCTGGGCTTTGATGCACGAAATGATACGGAGGTTTGAACTGAGTTTATCGCCGTAAATCATGAGAGTTTCAACAGAGAAAAGATTGAGACGGATGGCTTTCTCGTAACAAAGGATATCAGCATGATTAGGGCTCAACCAATCCATTCCGATGATGACATCGAAGCTTTTTATGGAAACTGGCATAAGGTCGATAGGAAAATAATGATCGTTCAAGGTAAGGGTACATCCTACGTATATATCATTAGTGCTCTCTTTCTCACCGTTACCCATCTCGACGGTAAATGTTTCAGTTAGTGGTTGAGGTTTATGTTTGAGAAGATGTTTGAATGCATGACTAACAAAACTTCTCTCTGCACTAGAATCGAAGTTCGAGTTTAACCCTTATGAAAAATAAAATGAATAAAACTAATGAAGTTCGAGTTTTTATTTAAAGGGTTTGACTTTTATTGACTAGAAAAATAACGGGTTGTTACATTAGGTGAGTCTCCTCACCATACTCAGGGGTCAAAGGCACCAATGTCGGCCCACTGGTTTATGTTATATAGGAAGACCAGGGGGTGGCCCTTGGCATTTCTATGAAAGACCTGGATACCACTCCCGACAAATTATATGCTAGACCAAGGTTTGGACTCTGACAGTTATATGTAATATGTTAGTTGTCTTTGTGATACTTGTATGGAAGACCAGGAGATGGCTCTTGGCACTTGTCAGTTAGATCCAGGGTTTTGGCCCCCGGCCTGGCAAGTAAAGACCATGATAAATCTCATGGCATAATGGAAATTATAAGACTATAGATGACACATAGCAATATCTATTGTATGTATGGTATGCGGTATTGGGGAAATCACTAAGCTTTGTGGTTACGGTTTTATGTTTATAGTTTCAGGTACTTCCGGTACGAAAGGGAATGGCTCGACGTGACTGCACATCATCCCCTAGAGTTTTCTGCATTGGCAATTATAATATTTACTATGATGTTTAAATAATATATTCACTTTGATCGGTTTTGGAACAACTCGTTTGTATGGTTTATTGTTTTAAAAAAAATTACTATGAATTTTTGGGACGTTACAGAAGAAGATGGTTTAGAAATTAACGTCGTTGCAACCTTATATAGAAGGGAGATCAAGTGAAATGTCGAAAATACCATCACGTGTAGAGCTTGTGAGGGTGGTTAGCGACTCTAATTTGGTGGAGTTGCCCAAAAGGAACATCCATTAAAAGTTTTTAAACCACATGGACCATTCTTGGTGACCTAAAAAGTTAAGGACTAAACTTGATTTTTTTGGAAACCGAGACCATTTATGAAGATTTTCCTAATATATAATAATTATTAATTGGAATAATATGTTAGATAATAATTGATATTAACTATTCACATATATAAAATCAAATCGCTATGTTTTGAATTTAATTAAAATTTAAAATATGTTTTTAAACATTTAAAACACATTAACAAAAGTTATAAAAAACTTATAATTAACATACATCTAATAATTAAATACTCTAATAAAGTATACCTTTAGCCTATATAAAAACGTATAAACGTCCTATCCATAATTTACTTGGGAATATGTTTTTCCCTCACATGCCCTCTTTTCACATTGCATCTAGTTCTTTGTAGTTTTCTCTTTGTGTTGGATAAGTTGCGAGGAAGAGTTTGTAAATTTACAAACATCCATGAGAAATATTTTTTGGGTTGCTCATAAAATGGCAAGACTAATGTTATGAGAGTGTGGCTTAAAAATGCCTTTAATCCAATATTTTAGAGTAAAAACAAATCTGCAAAAATGGTCCCTGTGGTATGTATTTTTCTTTCTTTTAGTCGAAACCCCGACTTTTTTAGCTTCGTGGTCCTTTTGGCCATGTTTGTACGTAAATTTGGTCCCTCGTAAAATTGAAAAGACTGTAATGCCCTTCTGATATATTTTTTTTATGTTTTTTATATTTAATTTAAATGAAAGAAATAATTAATTAATTTGGGCCCACATATCTCTCTCTCTCTCTCTCTCTCTCTCTCTCTCTCTCTCTCTCTCTCTCTCTCTCTCTCTCTCTC